TACGCTTAGCTTCTTCAACTCGCTTTACGAGGTCTGCGTAGCGTTTGGTGTCATCTTCCTTTACTTTAGGAGTATACATGTTCCACGTGTCCAGAGGCGTGTCAGGGGGCCTCCTACTCCCTTTGCGCTTTCGGACTAGGCGCCAACCATCGTGCGTATATCCCTTCGGGACAGGGGAGCCGTCTGGCATCTTTGTATGATCATGTATATACGGAATTTCCATCCCGCTACCGTCTGGTGAACCACCCCCCTGAACCTCAACTACGGGTTTACCGTCCCTGGCTTTACCTTTCTGAAGAGCCTTTTCGACCCTGTCCTGCACGGCATGACAATTCTGGTCGTCGAGCTGCGGAGGTTTGCCTGGATGTCCCTTATCATGGCTCAGCTCCAATGCGGGGCACGAATGGTCACTGACAGGGATTTCCATCCTGTTTACGCGTAACATGGGCAACTTGCCAATCTCAAGTGCGTCCCTCAATCCCTCAACTGATAGCCAAGGAATATACCCTCTGCACTTGACGGGCCAAACTTGGAAGGCGCAGTAGCTTTACGTTTGGGGTCGTTCCAATAGAGGACTTTTGCGCCACAAGGAACGTTCATACCACCGAAGGGTTCCCCAAACCTCAAATCCCATGGTATGGCATCAGCGTCAACACGCTTAGTTAGACTCAAGGCCATCGCATGGTGCTGCGCCGCCAGCGGCCAAAACTTTTCGGGCAATCCTGACTGAACAAGATTCGCGCGAGTACCTTCAAGAACGGTACGGATTTCGCGCTCAGCAACTGACTTGTTTTGGTTTGCGTATTCTCTACTTGTAACATGCCTAATCCTTCTGTCCAACTGCTTCACACCATCGATGAGCTCAGGGGCATTATCTGAGTACATCACCTTTATGTCGTCATCGACACCCACAAAGTGAAGTAAATCCTCCAATACCTGCTCACCTTCTTTGGTGTCAGAAGGATAGACATATCTAAACTTCGAGAACACGTCTTTCACAACTAGCGCAACACGTTGATCATCAAAACCATAGTCCCTCAAATCCCTAGCAATGATATGGTCCATGGTCACATGATCCCCGTACGCCTCACTCCTGACAGTTGAAGAACCTCCCGTTTTCCTTGCGTAGGGAGCCATCATCTTCGCTTTCTGACATGTGCGGCAGAACGGGTTCTTGGGTCTGTGGCAGAACAAATGCTTTTGGGATTTGGCCTCAAATTTTAGCCTTTCGTCCCTAGGCATATCTTCTCCCTCAGGTCCATGGTCTAAGTCTAAATCGCTACCGGGAACCAACTCGGGGTCATCATCAGGCCTGGTGAACATTGTAACGGACATGATCGTCCTTTCTTCAAACTTACCAGCCTTCACCTTGAGACCACGAATGTCAACGTTATCCTCAATCTTAGTCCACTTTCCTTCTCTGAAGACCCAAGTAGACCTCATTGCACAGCGTTAGAATTTGGGGGTAGGTGTCCTGAAAACCTTTGGGTAGTGCGCTACCAACAGATAAGGATGATTAGCTGTGGTAAACCAACCCGATTTGGCCAACTGCTTTGGTTGAATTCCCGCAAACGGAGGTTCATTGCATGCAGCCTGAAGATCCTTATCTATCAGGCTAATTGGTTCTGATGCTTCGGCTCTCGCTTCCTCGGCTGGAGGTTTCCCTCCGCTCGTTGGGTAAAACCCTCATCACCGTCTGGGGCGACCTCGATGCCATCTCTGCCAAGTTCATCGAGCCACTCGTCCAGTTCCGCGTCGTTGTCATCGACACTCACTCTAGACGGGGCCTCTGACAGTGCTTGGGCACCAGAGTTCATCTTTGACTTTGCCGGGAAAGCGTAGCCTGAAAACTCACCTCCTATCACGGGGACTCTGCCTCTTAGTCTACAACGCAGTTTTGTGCCATCGGGCCTCACAAAGAACGGTTTGCGATACGGTGGCCAGCAGAATCCCTAACCTTCATCTAGACAGTGCTTACCTACCGACACAACTGGGGGTGTGCTGTTGAGGAGATAAAATTCCACCTTTGAGTTCAATTCTGGCACCGTTACCTTAGCAACCTTGTCAGCACTTGTTGGGCCATTCGCTGTAACCAAGTTCAAAGGGTTGTCAGCGTTTGTAGATTCCAGTCCCCACTAAGCACACTACGCTACACCCCTACAAGCTGCTGTGGTCCCGTCTTAGGGCGCTCGCGCACCCGGTCTTGGGCCGCACCGGGGGACCGCGCGCACCCGCCCCAGTGCCGCGCGCTGGACAGCCGAGAGGATGCTCCCCACCAGCGCCTCGCCCATGCCGCCTGGGCGGGGCCGCGCACAGCAGGTGGGGCCCGGCACGCGCGCAGCTTGAGAAGGCGCTGCGCGAGCGAGATCGCAGGGACGTTCCAACGTCCCCCAACCTGGGCATAGTCTAGATCTTCACTTGAGGATTTGGGGCAATCCTTTGCTGTTCGGAACTGATCCTGAAAGATACGAGCCTTTGGCGCTGACGACTTTGTGATGTGCTTGCACTTGACATGATACATAATTGGGTTAGTGTCAAACTTCACCGACTTTCGGGGTGCTCGATACTGCGTGCTACGTGCACTTGCAAGAAGTGGGGATGATGCTCTTCGGTTAGACGACGCTGCTACAGCGAACCCACTCTTCTCCGGCGTGCCCGCTAGGGCCGCAGTGTCGAGCAGGCAACACGCAGCGTTGCTCGTCTTTTCGCGCGACCTACCACGGCTTGTCTTCCTACGCCTGCCAACATGCGGTGATGGCGATCTCGGCTTTTCACCTTCCTTTGCGGGCGTGGTGATTGACGGAGACTTGCTTCTGGTTTTGTGGAAGAACTCGCATTGATCCCCTTTTGTACACTTACTGTTCCTCTTGAAGAACCTACAGATCTTCTTCTTCTTTTCAGTACTAGGGGGTCTCCCTCTAGAGGAACCACGACTGGAGCTTGATCTTGACGATGTCCTAGAAGATTTCCTGGAGCCCTTGGAACCCTGGGAAGCGGACCTATGAGGGTACTTGCAGTTGTCTCCCCTTGCCTGCGCCCTTACCCTCCTTACCTTTACCCTTTCCTTTGGGTGGGTCCTGAGTTGGGGTGTCATCCGGCGCTGGGGTGCCATACTTGTCTCCATGGGACCTGGCGATCTTGTCACGGTTCCTGCGGATGCGCTCACGGGTCAGGAGATCATGTATGGACTGAGTCAGGAACTGATATGTGTGGTTGTAGGCACCCTCCTTGGCTCTATCATAAATCTCTAGGTCATACTTGAACTTACCGGACTTACGCAATTGCCTCAACAAGATGTCCCTCAGTGTGGTTTCCTCGGGAACATGAGACATTCCGGCGATTACCGACTCCCAATTGTGAATGAACGTCGACAAATCGTCACTGTTGAGAGTTACCTTAAGTAGATCCTCGACAGAGTAAAGCGAGCCTGCTTCCTCATTCGTCTTGAAGAACTGCTCAAACATTAGCAAAACCTGTCGCCCTCTTACTGCATGACCCTTGCTGGCTTCAACTTCCTTGTGATTAAGGATTCTTCGGCCCAGCTCTCCTTTCACGATCTTGGAGAGTGCAGCTAGTAGTTTAGTGTCCAAGGTCAAAAACTTGCCTGTTTCCCTTAGGGCTCCTTGGTATACACTTCTAGCAGCCACTTAAAGGCCTCATCAGGCTGATCAGACGCCGCACGAACAGTCTCTTTCAGCCTCTTTGACTTTGGGTCTTTCGGGCTCATTAGACTTGCTGGTCAAGGCTTCCAGGACTTTGGGGTTACCTAGAAGTGACGCTAAGGCTGCTTCCGTGGCACTGCCCGGCACAGGTCTCCCGGTGCATCCACAGTGGTCCTTGTCCGCTCTTCTCCTAGATGGGAGCATAGACCTCTGAAGGATGTGGGGACTGTCGTCGGGTTATCATTCCACAGGTGTTCAGGCGCGGTCGGCATCTGAGGCGGAGCCTTTGGTTCGAAACCCGGACCGGAGGTGGTTCGGGGCCGAAGTGGTGCATTTTCTACCTAGGGGTGGAGAGATGCGAACGCATGGATCTAGCCCTTTCTTCTTCCAACTTTCCCCTAAGAATCGAAATCTGCTCCTTCAACCCTCGAACTTCATCTTCATACTCCTCCCTAACTCGGGCAACCTTCTCATCTGCCTTTTGGTCACGAGAGTCGAGTTCTCTGGTGAACAAATCCCTAAGGAAGTCACGTGATTCCTCCTTATTCTTGCGGAATTCGCGACGCAGACTCTCTCGTTCCTCTGCAACCTGATTTTCGTGCCTAGCGAACCTAAGCTTGTTTTCCT